TAACCGAAATGCTTTTTTAAGGAATTACGTAGGTTTATCAACAACTATTGATCCTATTTTCAAGTTTACTTACAATTTGTAAATTATACCTTTGTTACAAGTTCAGTCTCATAATCGTTTTAATGGCCTACTTATCTACTTTTGCGATGTTGTCACACGTAAAACACGATCTTTTTAAGAAGCGCAAATGTCATGCAGAGTATGCAACATGCATACACCATCCCAAGACCACAGGTGTTTCAAGTTGAAAAAGTACTTAAACTTAATTACAAACTTCAAAACATGACATTTCAAAAAATGACATTGCCACAAAATTTTAAATATGAAATCGATGCATTTTATTATTCGTGTAATCTTTCATTCGAATAAAAAATAGTGTTCGATACGAGGGCGAAAATTTGTTTTTCGCCCTTGTATCGAAAACTACTATTTCAGTTACAATTGGTAGCAGAAAGTTGCATAAAGCGGTTTTCCAAAAATAATACTGTACAAGATGGAGTAGTTGACTCCTAGAGAAGTTTTAATTTAAGTGCAGCAGCTTCAAGGTTGAAAAGTTTGTATCATTTACACCCGTTGCCTGTTTGATAAATTACATCTGAAGTTAGTCTGAGCCAGATATGAAAGAGAGATTTTCTACTGTCAAGTAAAATTGTGCGACGAGAATTTAACGTCGAGTGGCAGTTGCTTATTGGATTTGCACTACCATCAACACAGTCTGATAACTTTTCGCCATTGGCGAGTATTTGAAATGGGATTCTTAGACGTCGAGGGGTAAAAAACTATTCACCTCCGAAAATTGCACTTGGAGAGTACGAGAAAAATATTTTAACACATTTTTTCGAAAATTTCTAGAAGACGTTAGCAGTTGAAAATCGAATTTCAACTGTATTGTTATTAAGTTTCATGTTGAAATGGTCCCATGTTTGATGGGCAGCCTATTAGAATACTGATGATTGCTTCAAATTACGAAAAATTTTTATATTTAAAACGTTCTCGTCTACAGTTTTTTGATGCAAAGTCACAGTAGCAATGATGTTTTTTGTCCATCAGATTTGAATAATTTTACTGATTTACAAGGGTATTTTATTCTCCCAAATGATGAAAAACTCACTGTTTTGTACTTCTGCAAATCAATGCAAAAAGCTTTTCAGTTCATACAGTACAGAACTCCAGTTGCAGAATCCACCTATCTGAGGGAATAAAGTAGTAAGCGCCGATAAGCCGTTTCACTTATCCCGATGCTTTTTGCGAGGCAAGTAATAATATAGAAATCGTACGTTAACCGTTCAATTCCCGGATGAAAAATCACCGCGCCGAGTTTCTCCCATTTTCTCCCCGAAAATCTAGACAATGAGAAACTATGTGTGCTATTTCAATCTCCATCAGGTGCGGAAGCGTATAGTTCTTTATGGGTTTTTTTCTGCGGCTTTCCGTCTAACAGGGGGATTTTTTTTGCGCCAATAATACAGACATACAATTTGGAACTACGCAATTAACTCGGTAATCCGATTATGAAGATTAAAGGCGTGCAGAAAATGTCTCTGTTAATCAGACGTTCCCACAAAATCCGAAGGGAACTTCAAACAAAACTCAACAGTTTCCTGGGGATCTTTAATAAACCACCGTTTTTACCTAGTCAGCGAAAAGCGTGCACGAGTAGAAATCCACAAAGAAGCGGAAAGCCCGTAATTGAGCGAAAATTGAATTTCGCTAAGCGGATCGTTTGATTGCGCACTTTAAACTTGGGTTTTATTACTTTTTGGCCGATTCACAATGGAGTGAATGGACAAAGCGGTCGAACCCTCCCATCTTCGTCTTCGGTTTCAGGGCTGAGATAAATGAGCAAAAAAAGAAAAACTATCCTTCGAGTTCTAAAATTGGTCAACCAACCATTTAGGATTGAAGACATTTAGACATCATTGAAAAAATCTGAAAATGCCTTATTAACTGATCTTATTCACAGGCGATTAGAAAAAGTCCCTTTGCATTAAATAGATTTTCTGTTTGCTATGTAAATGCTATATTTAACATGAAAAATGTTGCCAAACTTGTAGTAGATTAACCTGGTTAAAACCAATTTGGTGACTCATAGAATATACGCAAGAGATGATCTACCAAGATTTTGGCAAAACAGCAAGAAATCAAAAACTTGCTGTCTAAGATGCTGGAAACTCCCTTTTCCAGAATCGAAAAATCATCTAATCCTTTGGCAAGCTTTTGTGTTGACTACAAGAAGAAACTAAATCATGCAACCAACGAACAAGGCGAAAAACTCGGCGCATAATTGGCCTTTTAAAATCGAATTATCACGTGCCTCAAAGCATCTTTGCTCTCCATTGCTTGGAGGTTTCCCAAAGATTCTGTGAAGGGAAAACATGTTAATTTGTTTATTCTTGTAAAAACCGGTCTATTAAAGCCATTTTTTTCTTAGGTACTTTGATCCATTGAATCAAGTAGTGCCGAACATTTTTTTTTCGAAAATTTCTAGGAGGTATTAACAGTTGATGACATGAGAAAAAAAAAACATTTTGAAATTGTTCCAAGTTTAATTGCGTTGCGCAGTCAACAAATCTTGTTGAATTTACCGTTTATCCTTGTCTATATCTTATTGTCCGTCTGTATAATTTCATGGTTACCGGAGTTTTAAATAATTACGAAGCAATTTGCGCAATGTTAATTAGGCGGATTACCTTGAAAAACATTGCTGCCGTATTTCTGATATAGTTTTTTGCCAATTTCTCAGTTTTTAATACCAATTAATTTATTTTACTATTTTTTGTACTCCTATAACAGCGCCAGACAACACCTCCAGAGGAATGACGCCAATTTTCACCCTGTACGTGAATAATCATCTAGCAAAATATGTGTCTTCTAAACCACAAGCGGTCATAATAACCGCCACAATTAACAAATTTTCAAACTAGAAAAAGTTCAAAAAGTCCAAAAAAAGGAACAATATCGTAGTACATATCAAATATCGCAGCCATTTAGGAAAATCGAATTTTGTAGTAAATTATAACATCCAAGAAGTATACAGGAAAACTTACAGATTTTTTTCCTGGATAAAATACACAGAGAATATACATATGGTGCCATCTAGAAAAAGTGAAGTTTTTAAGATTCAAAATTCGCTAATTTGGCCAATTACTATGACCATCCCGTAGTATGAAAGGTGCATTTTGCACAATTTTATGCCTGAAGGCGACGAAGAATTTTCCGATTTATCAACATCATGAAGTAACTACAGAACTATTCAGTTTTTGTCCATATTTTATATAGCAACGACTAATTGAAATTTACAAGCAAATTCTAAAGTGAAATAAAATATGCAGTCTTCCGATAGAAAAAAAATTGTGCCGCAATTTTGCTCTCGCACTCTGTATAATTGACAGGATTTTTTTAAATATGCGCGTTTTGTACCTCATACTCCTACTTTTATCACTTTTTTTACCTCATTTAAAACTTTAATTCGGATTTTTCTCCTATTTCTGAGTATTTGGAGTTTTCCCATTTCCGCTGTTTTACGTTAATATAACACAGTAATTACTGTATTCTGCTGCAGGTCTGAACGCGCCTTAACGTAACCCTGATGCGGCGCGTTCACGTGCGCAAATATTAAACCCTGATAAGAAAATTAAATTAAAAACTCCATATTCTAACCGAATGAGAGCGATAAAATTGATTATTCTGCTTTAGAACTGTGTAAGTTTAAGTGAAGGTGCAAGTAATGTCATCACTATGCAAGTGTGCCAATGAGCATGTCGAGAATACTACTGGTACGATTTTAATTTTGCTGATTTGAATCTTTCTTGGTGATTTAAACCAAAAATTGTGCGTTTAATGCTTCTGTAAACTTTGTTTTCAGATCCCATTTGTCTGTAAGCCGTCTGTTCAAATATTCCTAGCCGGACTTATTGTGGGTCTAACTCTGGGATTGTTAATCCTCTTTATTAAAACGGACAACTCCAGGTAATATTTTCCTATAACGCCTAGACTATTTATTTTTCAATAGTCCAAGGTTTTATGTTATATGCGTATATGCAATGTTGTTCTTTGTTTAAACAACTAAAAAAGTTATCTAGATTTTTCCAGCAACAGAACTGAGTCCAAAGATAGTCGTCGAGTTTTCCTGTCTTGTAAAATCAATCTCTTAATTTTTTTGGGTAAAATATTTAGTTTGCCAGTATTTTGCATTAAAACGCCAGGAAAAACGCGGTTTTTCTGTTTAGAGACAGTGTCGCTTACAAATATTGACCTGAAAGTGAAGAATCTCCAGCTTCCAAGGGTTTTCCAATTAAACGATTATGAACTTTTGCTTTTCCAGTTCGGGGAAATATTTTTGGAAAAAAACCCAGAATTAATTATTAGGGTTTTGTCCATAATTCGAAGGTGCGAAAAGCTTCCAAAAATTTTTGCAAATCGGTTAAGGAGGCGAGTGTAAAATTTATCTTATAATTTTTCAGTGTCTGTGTTTTAACTAAGAAATAATGCTCATTTTGCGTAGAAAGAATTTCTCAATAGAAACTTTGCTAAAACTAGACCTGCAAATTTGAAGGAACTTTGAAAATCTTCAGAGCGATGGGCGGCGAATTTTCCAAATAATTTTTTGTTCACTTTTGCTCTCTGAGCGTTTTTTCCAGATAATCTTAATTACTTTCGGCAAAAAAATGATTTGGTTTTTGTGCCAAATTCGAAGCTGAAAAGGGTTTTCAAAGTTCCCTGCAAACCGATGGATGACGCGAATTTTCTAGCACAATTAATTTTGTCATCAGAAAATAATGGTTTTTTGCGTTTTCGATTAAAAACTTTTAGTTTTGTGATCGGTTTTGGAGAAAACCTTAATGGTTTTCGGGGAAAAATGGGAGAAACTTATTTTCGTTTTTGTCTCAAATTCGACTCGAAATTCGAAAATAAATTAATCTTGTAATTTTTCGAGTAAAAGACCTTTAAACCATCAGTATTTTAAGTAAAACTCTACAAATTAGAGCGTTTTTAACTGGAAAGTAAGGCAAAAAAATTCAGTTAATACTGAAAAACCACATTTTTTTAACAAACAGTCTTCAGAGGAATTGAGGTGACGAGATTTCCAAATAATCTGTTATAAACTGTCGCATATTCTGTTCGTTTTTCGATAAAAAACTATTCGATTTGTTCCAAATTCGATGCTGGAAAGGGATTTCAAAACTTTTTACAAAGCCACCAGGGATTAGAAATTTATTCCATATTTTTTCACGGAAAATACCTTAAGTTTGTCAGCATTTTTAGGCGAAACTTTGAGCATTTCGAAGAAAGAGTAACTTGGCTAAAGTCTGAAATTTTAAGGAAATTTTCAGATTATTAACAATAAATGGCCCTTGAATAAATCTAAAAACAAGTAAAAATAGTCATCAACGTTTTCCGCGCAACGAAACTGAGTTACTGCGGCGGTGCGTTGAGTTGGCGCACCAAGCCATTTGCGTGGCACTGCGCCAGCTCCTAAAAACTCACTGAGTTACGCAGGACTGCGTCGTGGGAAAAAATAACAATCGCCAATGTGAGACTGTTTCTCGAAACTCTTTTTATGAATCTTAGGATAACTGGGTGCATTTGTTAATATTCTATGCGTTTTCAAGGTCCAAAGTTATTATTTGGCGAGAAACGGCATTATTCTTAGGCAAATTCGCTTCTATGAGTGTAATAAAACGCATTGCAACATTTTTTAGGTCCAACTATTTCAAAAACATACAAGACTACAACAGTTATTTCTCCGTTGGCAGAGGACACTCCGAAGCCGATACCCATCATGCGATGATTAACACCACATTAGCTGATGAACTTTTTAGCAAAGTAAAAGTCTTGTGTTGGATCATGACGAGTCCTTCCAATCACTTGCAGAGAGCAATTCATGTGAAGGCAACCTGGGGCAAGCGGTGCAATAAGATTATCTTTATGAGCTCTGCAGAAGGTTTGAATGACAATTGTTACCACGATAGGGAATTTTTTAACGTTTTTCTAGAGCCCCTATTGCCGACTGTAGTGCTACCTGTTACAGAAAATCGAGAAAACTTGTGGGGGAAAGCGAAGGAGGCCCTCAAATATTTATACAGGAATTACTATCATGAATATGATTGGTTTTTCAAAGCAGATGATGATACGTATGTGCTTTTTGTAGCAGCGTCTTGCTAATAACGCTGGTTGTGTTGTTCGAATATTTGTTTGCATTACTGGGGTCTCTTTATATTTTATTATTAACAAGAAAATGTTATTTTTATAATGAAAAATTTGGCTGTTACTGCGTTATATTCTAGATATGCGGTAATGGAGAATCTCAGGTATTTGCTGTATTACAAAAATTCATCTCAACCAGTGTATTATGGGTGCAAATTGAAAGTCCCTGATCACAATTTCAACTACATGAGCGGAGGTGCTGGCTATGTCCTAAGCAAGGCAGCGTTACAAAAATTCGTTATAGTAAGGTGAATAAATTCTGGGCTCTTTAGCAGGGATGCCAGATAGGTGTTTTCTAGGAAGCTTTACCAGATATGTTGTGCAGACAGCAAAATAATGGCTTGGAGGACGTAGAAATAGGAAAATGCCTTCAAGCAGTTGGCGTAAACTTGGGCAATTCGTTGGACAACGAGTACCGACATCGGTTTACTCCAGTATTTGTCAATGAAATGCTCGTCCCAGGAGTCCTCAATGACGTCGATTGGTATATGAAAATGATGTACAACCCTAATAAATTTGTAAATTAACCAAAACTGTATGCTTTTCTTGAGCCAGCCGATGATTTTCTCTGTTCCAGGGGTTGCAATGCTGTTCCGACAATCTTATCACCACACATTACGTCAAACCGCATCAGATGTACCTCCTGGAATACCTAATTTATCATGTAACACCTTTTGGCAGGGCTTATAATCCCACTTTACTCCAACGCTTTACCTGAAAGAATTATAATGAAGTGACGACACCGACTCGGAACCAGCCAAATGACTGGAATGAATGTTTTTTATATGTAGCTTATATGGAAAAATACATTTTCAAACCTTGAATCAAACCAACTATTTTTCACCACCCCAATTTAGATCCAAGCAGGGGCGGATCCAGCTTTAAAGTCAGGTGAGGGGGAAAAAATACAGTCTTCTGTTGTTTATGAAATTAGAAAGAGGATCGTGGTTTTGTGCAAGGGTGGCGCAAGATTAATGCAAAATTTCATGTTTTCCGTCCCGTTTTGCATGTTTCTCGGAAGCAAAATGAGGAAGAACGCTCGTTTTTACATCATTCCAGAGATAACTAAATGGCCTTTATTCGAAG